TTTATTCTCAGAGCAAGTCAAAGGCACTGGACAGCTGTGAACAATCAGGGATATGATTTATCTTTTAGCAGGGTTCCTCTGGAATGAGCTATAGATGGTAAGGGTAGAAGCAGGAAAATCAGCTAGGAGGACTGTGCAGCAGCCCAGGATCACTGCTGCTTGGACGGACTAGACCAATGTGCAAAGATCGGTTATGAAATGAAAAGCAAATAACAAAGTAGGATACTGCTCGTAAATTGCTTTTGAGCATATACACATTCAGGTGTAGGAAGCCATTTCCCCACTAAAGGATCCAGAAAACAGTTAATGGGGGTTCTCTTTAGGGAGAGGGGCTTTGTGAGGGTCATTTCATACCCTTCACTACATTGTGCATTTTGTCACGTGTGCAAAGCATTACTTTTATTTAAAGATAAAATATTTTATGGGTACCTAGGTGGCTCAGTCAGTTGAGCATCCTACTTTGGCTCAGGTCATGATCTCACGGTTTGTGAGTCGGAGCTCCACGTTGGGCTCTGTGCTGACAGCTCAGAGCCTAGAGCCTGCTTCGAATTCTGTGTCTCCAGTTCTTTCTCTGACCCTCTCCCACTTGTGTGCTTCCTCTCTCTTCTCTCTCTCTCGGAAATAAACATTTTAAAAAAAGAGACAAAATATTTTAAAATAAAAATATAAAAACTGAGATCAAAGAAAACATAAAATTGGGGCACCTGGGTGGCTCAGTCAGTTGAGTGTCTGACTTCGGCTCAGGTCATGATCTCACAGTTTGTGAGTTTGAGCCTCGCCATCAGGCTCTGTGCTGACAGCTCGGAGCCTGGAGCCCGCTTCGGGTTCTGTGTCTCCCTCTCTCTCTGCCCCTCCCCGGCTTGTGCTCTGTCTTTCTTTGTCTCTCAAAAAAGAAATAAATGTAAAAATTTTTAAGAAAAAAAAGGAAAACATAAAATAGAAGAGGCAATGGATGATTAATACCACAGAGAGGAAGCCCACCCCTCGTGGGTTAGTCCTTTCCAAGTACAAGCCCCTGAAACTTCTGGAAAGCCAGGGTGCCTGTGGGGTGAGCCCTGGTTCCTGGGTTACCATGGGATCAGGCGACTGCCCTCTTGAGAACCATGGAGTCCTGTTTCTGTCCTGTGTGGCTTTCAGGTCTCCTCAGGCAACTGATACAATTTCCTGTAAATGCCTGCTTTATTTCCCTAGGCCCTCTGTGTCAAATCCCTCCCCTCTATCATCCTGGCAGTTGGTTCAGCATGAGGGCAGCATGCCCTTCATTTAATTGCATGATTTGGCATAAACAGAAGGAAATACTTTGCTGGGGGAGAGAGTATAGTGCAGCATCTGATTTCTCCTGTCAGCTGATTAGGATTTGTCGTGTCCCAACAAGGTCAAATGGAATTAGAAAGAAAATGCAGTGTGTTCCGGTGTGTGTTTCAAATAACTGCATCATTTATGTAAACAGGACAAATGAAGGGGGAAATGTTAAAGCAAATATTGACTGTCAGCTTCAAGATTCAAGGCACAAGAAGCCACTGCTTCTATGTTATGCCCAGAGAGAGAGAACAGTTATTACGGGCATCTTGAATTCTGCTGATTCTATCATGCTCTGCTGCCCCTTTCATGCTGGTGCAGTTAAAAAGCAATGTCTGCTTTTCAGAGGCAGCAAGCACAGAGTAAGTCAGATCAAGGAAATGCCACATTCTACTTTTATCACCCTTCTAAGACTCCTCGTAAGAGGTTTAGAGGCACTTTCTGTGATAGCAACTGCTGAAGCACTCTGCTGTGAGTCAATAGCTTAGGATGTGGAAAGAAAAATCTCACTTCCAGAACTGGCCACAACATGTCAGGTGTGGATGATTGTGGTCACGGCCACATCTCTGTGGACATAACTACCAGGCTTCTACCAGGAGTTCTGTTGGTCCTGCAAATCTGTCATTTTCTTCCTTTCCCAGACCCACCCTCTGCAGTCTTACTAGGCCTGCATATAGGGTTGTGGGTTTTTTTTTTTTTTTAATGTTTATTTATTTATTTTGAGAGAGAGAGACCACAAGCAGGGGAGAGGGACAGAGGGAGAAAGAGAGAGAATCCCAAGCAGGCTCCGTGTTCAGGGTAGAGACCAATGTGGGGTTTGATCTCCCCACCCTGAGATCATGGCCTGAGCCGAAATCAAGAGTCAGACGCTTAACCAACGGAGCCACCCAGGTATCCCCCTGCATATAGGTTTTAATCCTTGCAGACATGGCTTTAAAACTGGTCTAAGAGTTTTGAGGGAAGATATGGTTTCTTCTACATGATCTGTATAGAATCTAGAGTATTATGGATGCTTAATGAACAGCCCCAACGGCTATTATTTCCTGACCCAGAGCTGGAAGGCTAGTCTGAGGCCAGACCTGCAGACGAGGCAATCTCCAAGTCCCTTCCCAGGCTAAATAACAGGCCAGCAAGCATTAACATTATCATGTCTCAGGACTCAAATCATCCAAATGTATATTATTTAAAAGATAAATTTAGATGCTTGACATGAAAGTTGAAATAAACGTGGAATCTGGGGGATGTTAAAGTGAAATTTTAAAAAATTCAATATTGAGGGGAATTACATTACAGTAAATAAGGAATTGAGGATTCATTATTTCCCAGTATTTGGACAATAACATTGCTGAATACCAGATTAAAAAAATTAGTTTAGGGGTGCCTGGGCGGCTCAGTCAATTAGGCATCCGACTTTGGTTCAGGTCATGACCTCATGGTTTATGAATTCGAGCTCTGCATTAGGCTCATTGCTGACAGCTCAGAGCCAGAAGCCTGCTTCACATTCTGTGTCTCCCTCTCTCTCTGCCCCTTCTATACTTGCACTCTGTCTCTCTGTTGAAGATAAACATACATTAAAAAAAAAAAAGAAAGAAAGAAATTCATTTATATCAGTAGCTAGAGATTATCTTTGCTGAAAAGCCTTGTAGTTTTTTTTTTAACAGCAGTTCACAACTGGATGGGATGGAGAAATAAAACGAAAATAATGACTTACACTTGTGTTACCTGTTTTCAAGGTGCTTTCACACACTTTGGCACTCCTGTCAGCTGCCAGGGAAGATGCCGTTAGCAGTCTCATTAACCTCCTTTTTTTTTTAATGTTTATTTATTTTTGAGACAGCAAGAGACAGAGTGTGACAGGGAAGGGGCAGAGAGAGAGGGAGACACATAGTCTGAAGCAGGATCCAGGCTCTGAGCTGTCAGCACAGAGCCTGATGCAGGGCTCGAACCCATGAGCCGCGAGATCATGACCTGAGCGGAAGTCAGACGCTTAACCGACTGAGCCACCCAGGCGCCCCTCATTAACCTCCTTTAGGAAGGATGGAACTGGGATCCCAGCTAAGCTGCCCAGGAAGAGCCACCCACACAGTGTGGGCAGGTTCAAGGGCATGACCCTGGGCTAGGGACACCTGCATTTAGTCATAGTGAAGGATGTTATTAGGGGTGCACGCCGGGTGAGACCCTGAGCCCCATCTCTGTCTTAAGAATTTTTAGTGTGCTATTTAATGGGTTTAACTTCCTAATTTAATGTTTCCTAACCTTAAGATCTATCTTTCTGGGTGGCTGCAAGTTAACACACACACTGGAGTTAGTCTGATAATTCTCCAATATTGAGAAGACGATGGTCTAAAATGTTTTGATCTTTCTGTGCTTCACAAGGTCCTTTGGAATTGTGCAGGTGACCAGAAAGATTATTATTTTTGAAAGCAAATTATGAGTACCTTTGAATATGTGGCTGTGGCAATTCATGGAAGTTCTAATTAATAAAATGTGGTGAAATCATTTTCTTCTGTACTTTTCAAGTCCCTTTTAGGAGAGCCATGGCTTATCCATCCTGTTCCAGGGAGTGAGCTTCTCTGAGGCTCATCTCAGAAGGCACAAAAATGGTTCCCTGGAAGCCAAATGATGCATTTGGAGAGCAGGCTCCGACCTCCACCTTCCAAGAGGAGGTGGAGACCAGAGAGCATATATCTAGTACTCACAGGTCAATCTGTACCTGTCCATCTGAATCAGTAGGTGGGCCGCTTGCATAAAAACTCACACATACACACACATACCTCCCAGGCTCAAATGCCTACATAAGGAGTAAGGACTCTTCTTCAGTTATAGGAAACTATTCATCATGTTTCCATTCAGCCTCTTCAAAGATACCTCCTGATCCATATCCTTTGAATCCAATTTCCAGCTTCCTTCCCTACCTGCTAGCCAAAGAGTTATTTGTACAGGCAGCCCCCTCCCTTCCTCACCCTGTCCTGGCCAGTGGCATAAAGATGATGCATGTGGTCCTTTAACGCAATTCCTGCTCCAGGAGCTGGGCTCACCTGAGGATCCATTAGCCCGGAGCAGCAGTGACAGGCTTGACCCCTGGTCAGGAAGTAAAGAAATACTCACTCTGCAGCCCCATCCAGCCCTAGCCTGGACGGCCATTGCCTTGGATGGCTTTGCAAGGCTTGGCTCTAGGAATGGCACAAACAGACACACACACACACACACTCTGCCACACGCAGACACCTACACCCTGTGCAGGGATGCCAGATGACAGAACAGAAAAGGACTCTTTCATCCGGCAGCCCTCCGATTCCAGAGGAGCGTCTCTGAGCCACGACCTGCTGTTTCCCTGGTGACTGAGGCTTCCAAATAAACAGGATTCTGCTCAGACAGGCCAGTAGTCCATTCGGCTCAGCCATTTGCCCCAATACAAACCACGTTAAAATAACACTCAGGATAGCTGCCGTCTGCTGTCTCTGCCTCCCTTCCCTGCTGGCCAATAGCTCTGCCTGTTGCTGGCTGTCCAGAGTTGGGGGCACTTAGAGCTCTATGTAGGTCCCTGTGGGTGGGGTCAGTGCGGGCAGGTCCCCTCTGCTGATAAACAAGGCCAGAGAGAGACCCGGAGACTGGCACTGTCAGCGCCCCAGCCTGCCTCCCTGCTTCCCACACAGCCCTGCGGGACTGGTAGCCGGCCCTGTGGCATGGTGTCTGGAGGCGGACCAGCAGCCTGATGTGCGTGCCACGGCCCGTCCCCTCTCCCCACACGGAGCTGCAGTAACAGAGCAGTTCAGAGAGCCGGCGTGGGGCTGCCGGGGAAGCAGCCGCAGCACGGTGACAGTGACACAGAGCAGACGACACCCAGTGGATCCCCGGTGCCCTTGGACGAAGAGGCACAGTCCTCAGCCTTCACAGTTTTCAGGTAAGGATCTGTGCCTCTGTTCTGGGGAGGAAAGAGCAGGGTATGTGCAGAGCTGAGGGCGTGCGTGTGTGTGTGTGTCCGAGTGCAAGGATAATATTACATGGAGAGGGGATAGAATCAGGAAGATGTAAGGCAGTGGGATGTTTTAAGCAGATACTACTGAAACCAGCCCACCTCTGGCTGGGTTTAAACCGTGGTGCCTGCTGCTCTGGGGAACGGGCTCGCCGATGGCACGGGCGTGTAAAAATAGCACCTAGAGTTTAGAGACTGTAAAAATAATCATGCACCACTGCTGCCCCAGCACCTTAATTCCTCTACTGCCAGGCCGATGAGGACTGGAGGGGGCGGAATGTTCTCACTTACTCAAGCACTGGATACAGCCCTTTCGCTCTGCAGCAGCCAAAATCTGTGGTTAGTTAAGTCTGGCTGGCAGTAGCCTGCTGTGTCACACTCACCCTCCCGGGGAGCCTGGACATTCAAATGCCTCAGGAAGTCTGTTCACTGAGCGCCTCAGACTGTACCCAAATTATGATATAGAAGTCGGGTTGAAATACAGGATTAGCTGAATACAATAGAATAGGCTGGTATTCGGACGGCCCCGTGGCTCACCTGGGCTGTCCCTTACCTTCCTTCTGATCTCTGAGCATCACACCCTCACCTCAGTACCCCTGCAGGCTGGCCCTCGAGAAGGAGCGGGAAGGTCTAGCCACATCCATGTCACTATTATCTGCCTAACGTATGCAAAGCTTCTAGAGAAGAGCACTTGTATATTCAGACCTCCAGGTCTGGGGGACAATTCAGGCACCAGGTAGCCATTTCTCAGAGAGCCAAGAGGAACTCACCTTATCTGGGCACTGGGGTCCAAGAACTCCCTCCGTGACTCAGCAGAATGTAAACACTCCGTGCTTTCTCCGGTGGCTGTAGCCCCCTCCCCCCCACTCTGCTGCATTCTTTTTCTGCTTTGGCACTTTCCCTTTCATTCCCTACAGGGATGTGATTGTTTATGATGTAGTTCTGCAAGCAGCAGTGGGAAGGCGAGCATCCACCGGAGGACGACGAGCCGGGCTCTGTGTGGGTCTGAGCCAGCCTGCTGGTGGCAAAGGGCTGAAAAGAAACATAAGCCTGGCTTCGCAGAGTGGTGTCCGGTGCAGGGTTGGCTGGCTGTTTACTGGGAATGTCTGGGTGAATGAGTGCGGATTTGGTGGAGACCGTGATTCACAGTCACAAATTCCCTTTTCCTTTGTTTTCTTTGTGTTGGTCATTGAGGGCTTCTGAGGAAATTCCCCTTTTGAGATTGTCTATGTGAAGGCAAGATCATCAGATGAGCTGCTGAGGACAGCTGGGGACACTGGAGGCTGTCTTCTGCGGACCCTGCCTTTGTTAGTATGACTAAATGGATTTGCAAATGAAGTACTTAATCCAAAGCCAAGTGAATCCACAAATAAGGGAGAAAACAGCATTTCTTGTAAACTCTCTCCCAGATTTGGTGCATACATACAGATGTGGTTTGCCTGGATCCAAAAAGGATTTATGGAAGAGCGATGAGGTTGGCGAAGTGGTTTGACGTCATAGGCCAGTAGCATCAACCCTGATGATGATATTTTCGGGGGTGATGGTTGATGACATCTTATGTTCCATCTACACTAGGCGAAGGGATGTCTGACCCCAGGACAGAGAGTGTGCACCCTTACTTTGTTGACATGCATTCCGTGGACACTCGTAAACCATGGAGGAGCATGGAGCCGCTAGGCCTGCTGGGCTACCTTCTAGAAGGGGAGGGATGGTGCAGAATGGAAGGCATTCCCCATCCACCTGATCAAAAGGGTGTTGCTTGGCTAATGTAATACTCCTTGATTTAAGCTACTGGAAAAAGAATCTGTCATTTGTGCCCCAGACATACCCTGTTTTAGGTAAATCTGATGCCTACACACGAAACAAACTGTAGGCGAATGATGGTTTTTCCCTGTTTTTCACTAATTAACAAATGTTCGTTGAGTACTGACAAGGGGTCCCATTTCAAAGTACAACTGGGTTGAGCCCCACTCAGCCACAGAAAAGGGAGGGCACCTACCTGGGTAGGCAGGTAACAGAGAATGGGCGTGGACTGACAGGATGTCCAACTCAGCTGGGAGGCAGGGTCCAAAGTATGGGAACAAGGGCAAGCATCCGGGCCACTGGTCTACAGAGAGAGAAGAGGGTGGAAGGGAACAGTAAATGTTTGATTCCTAAATATCCCTAATTAAGACAGGCAGCCTAACATAGTGAGCAAGTACATAGATTCTACAGCCGGGTGCCGGGGGGTTCAAATTCAGACTGTGCCATCTATTAATTCTGTGGCTTTGTGACTCAGTTTCCTCATCTGTAAAATGGGGTAATAAAGCACCAACCTTGTTGCTGAAAGGATCAAATGAGGTATGCTCTTAGCAGAATGCCTGGCTTATTATGAGTATTATATGTTTGTTAGTAGTAGTAGTAGTAGTAGTAGTAGTAGTAGTGAAGAGTGAGTTCTGAAAACGCTGTCCACAAGTCCTTTTGTTTCAAAGTCCAAAGTGACACTATTTGTTTCCTGTGCCCTTACTATGTGATGGGTACTCTACTTTGCTTTACATGAATGACCTTGCTGAATTCTCATAACAACTCTGGGAAGTAGGAATTGAGGCTTGCTGGGCTGGGCCATTTGCCAGAGTTCACACAGTTACCAAGTGAAAGAGCCACACGTCATACCCAGGCTGTGCTCCTACCTGATGTGCCACATATGTTTTGTTGGATCACTGGGGGGATCCTAAGAGGCAGGTGGAAAATGGCAACAGGAATTCAAAGACAGATGATATGTGAAGACCTAGAAAAGTAGGCCAGGATTTGGAAGCTCTACTAAGAAAGGCAGACCCCAGGGGTACCTGGGTGGCTCAGTCAGTTAAGCATCCAATTTCAGCTCATGTCATGATCTCACAGTTCGTGGGTTCAAGCTCCACGTCAGGCTCTGTGCCAACAGTTCAGAGCCTGGAGCCTGCTTCGGATTCTGTGTCTCCCTCTCTCTCTCTGCTCCTTCCCTGTTCATGCTCTCTCTCTGAAAAATAAACATTTTTTAAAAAATTAAAAAAGAGAGTGAGAGAGAAAGCCAGACCCCAGCTTGGCCCACAGGCAGAATCTCCACTTTGAGGACCTATGGCCTTTGAAACCAGGTCTTCAGGAACAAGACATGAATGCAGGCACAGGGGACAAGATGGGCCTCAGGCTTTCCTGAACCAGTCAGCAGATGATGCCCATGAAGAAAGGAAATAGTGCCTGGCATCAGAGATACAGGCAAAGTCACGGCAAGCCTGCTGGGCCAGAATCCCCCTCACACTCTCCAGGCCTAAGGTCAGAGGGCATTTTAGGCTAAGCTGCACATCAAGACTGGGTATCTCCAGTTGTAGAGAGAGAAGGAAAGGGCAATCCATGTGTGCTGCAGTGTAGGTGACAGTGATGGAAAAGACTCTATCTGCCAGCACAACCCCCCACTGAGGGGAACATTGAGAATGTGACAGAGATATGTTTTATGCATAACTGCTCAAGGTTACCTCGCTGATTTTGTCTAAGGAATGCTAGTGATGGGGAGTGTGTTCTCCCCACCCCCTGCACCAGGGCTGTGGAGGTGTTTGGAGACTGCTTCGGACAAGACTCACCTCTACCTCTCCAGGACCTGTAGTTTGCAAATGAACATGCATGAGAATCACAGGGGAGCTTGTTTAAAAAAATCAGGTACCCAGGTCCAGCCCGTAGAAGTCCTGATTTAGTCAGGTTCCGCAGGGACCTGAGATTCTACCTTTACTGGATGGGGCCCGGGTGATTTTATCTTTGGTCCACGGGCCACAGGTGAGGAAAGCCAAGTGTGACCATTGCTCTGATTCTTTTCCCTTCATTGCTGGAATGAGAACACAGAGTCATTTCGCCTGAATCAGGGACAGTAACCTCTTCCTTGTCATCCCCTTCTTCCTGAATTACCATCTTCCTCGGACTAGCCCTCCACTTGTCATAACATCAACGACTGCCCATGTGCCACCTACTGCGTTATGTGCTGGGCACAGTGCCAAGCCCTTCATGCCATTCCCTCACTCAGCCTTCACAACCATCCTATAAGTTAGGTGCAATCATTATCCACCTTTTACAAGTGAGGGAAAAGGACCCAGTGCTAGTAAGTGGCTGATGTGGGGTATGAACTCAGGATGAGCAAATGACCAGAGCACCATCATGTAACCTCCATGTAAGTGGAATTTTACCTGTTTGTCACGTCAGCCTTTCCTTCTTGCTTCTGGGTATCTTTCTCTGGTTCACATTCCTCTCTGGTCCACTTCCGTCCCAGGCCCCCATATAATTTCCTCAGAAGATGATATGGCCCTGTGCGTTTATACTTTTTTCTTACTCAATAAACCAGAAAAGGTTGGGGTGATGGGCAAGTGGAAGGCAGGTGTTAGGAGCTGAACTATGTCCTCCCCTTAAATTCATATGTTGAAGTCCTAACCTGCAGAGTATCAGAACGTATCTTATTTGGAGATGCCTTTCCAGAGGATATCAAGTTTAAATGATGTCATTAGTGTGGGTACAGTATGACTGGCATCCTCCTGAAATGGGGAAACTGGGACAGAGGGAAGATGACATGAAGACACAGGTTAAAGAGGGCCATCTACAAGTCATGGAGAGTGGCCTGGAACAATGCTTCTCCTCCCCGCCCTCAGAAGGAACCAGCCCTGTCAATACCTTGACCTTGAACTTCTGGCCTCCAGAACTGTGAGACAAAACGCTTCTGTTGTTTAAGCCGCCTAGTGTGTGGTTCTTGTTACAGGAGCCCTAGAAAAGTATGATAGTGGGAGCCAGATTCCCAGGTTCATCCCCAGGCCCTGAGTTTGGGGTGATCTAGTTGCAGGCCAACACATTTTGCCAAGTTATAACAACATTCTTGTTTCTTTAACTCATGACTGCTCTTTCTGCTGACTGTAAACAGTGTTCGTGGGATACACAGG